AGAAGAGAAAAACGAGAAAAAAGAGCAAAGCAAGAACAAAAGAGAGAGAAGAGAACAGAAGGCATAAACTAAGAAAGAAGAAAGTAAAAGAAAGAGAAGAGAAGAAAAAAAACAAAAAAAAAAAAAATAGAGAGAGAAAGCCAAAAAAGAAAGATCGCAAAGAAAACGAAGTAAAAAGAAAGTAAAAAAGAAAAGAAGAACAAAAAAAGAAAAAAAGGAAGAAAAGAGAAGAAAGATAAAAGAAGAGACAAAAATAGAAAAGAAAGAAGAAAATACCAAAAAAGAAATAAAGAAACAAAGACAGAACAACATAAAAAAAAAATAACAACAAAACAATAACTCCACTCGCAGCACCTCCACCTCTCGCAATCACAACCCTGTAAAGCAAGAGAAGAGAAAATAGGAGACCAGAAACAAGTACAAAGAACAGAGAGAAAAGTAGAAGAAAAGAGAAGAGAATAAAAAAATAGAAAAACAGAAAGAAAAAAAAGAAAAGAAAAAAGAAAAAAAGAGAAGAGAAGAGAAAAAAGGAAAAAGAAAGAAAAGAAAAAAGAAAAAGAGAGAAAAAAAAAAGAGAAGAGAAGAGAAAAAAGAAAAAAAAAAACAAAAGAAAGAAGGAGAACTACAGAAGAAAGATACAGAAAAAAGAGATAAAAAGAAAAGTAAAGCGAAGAAATAAAAAAGAGAGAAGAAGAAAAAAAAGAACAAGCACCACACAAAGAGTAAGTAAGAAGAGAAGAGACACAGAGAGAGAGAGAGACAGAGAGAGAGAGAGAGAGAGAGAGAGAGAGAGAGGTGTCTCTCTCTCTCTGTCTCTCTGTCTCTGTGTCTCTCTCTCTCTGTCTCTCTGTCTCTGTGTCTCTGTCTCTCTCTCTCTGTCTCTCTCTCTCTGTCTCTCTCTCTCTGTCTCTCTCTCTCTGTCTCTCTCTCTGTCTCCCCCCCTCTCTCTCTCCCACAGATGCTCCACATCAGTGATTTTGTCCATATTAGGTGTGGAGCCTTCTGATTGGTGGCCTGTTGGTGTCACCTGTGGCGTGATTGACAGCTCAGGTCTGCCTCTGTGTTTCAGCACGTGTGCGTCGACTGTAAGAAGAACTACTGCAGCCGCTGCTCCGCCCAGCAGGCGCCTCGGCCACGCCTCTGTCACACCTGTCAGCGTTTCTACGGCAACCTGCTGGAGCGGGCAGAGCTGATGAAGCTGAAAGTGAAGGAGCTCCGGGACTACCTGCACCTGCACGAGGTTTCCACCCACATGTGCAGAGAAAAGGTGACGTATGCGTCATATTTCCCACTTCCTGATGAGACGTGCACGTATTCTTGTGTTTTAGTGCGGTATCCAGGTGGGAGGAGTCAGTGAGACCCGCTATGGCCTGATCAACCGTATTCACGGTCCGTCGCACTCGTGCAGTTGCTGGAGTGTTGTTCCTCCTCTTCGCATTCATAACAGGGAAGAGGAGGAAGAGTCTGACCGGGTGCTGGCGTCAGAGCTTGAGCGCTCCAGCTGACCTCTGATGACCTCTGATGACCTCTGCTTCTGTTGCTGCTGGAGAATCCATCGTCTGTGAGGCTGGCACTTTGGTCTCCTGTGGGAGCACACTCCTCTCTGTTCACATCTTTGTGCCTGAGCACAGCGCTGTGCGCCTGGTCTGATGATGTTTAACCCGTAATGACTCGGTCTCCGTGCTGTAGCTGTTTACCTCCACCAGGGGGCGGTGTCACAAACAGCCGGTCTGTGGGCTGCTCAGCTTAGTCCTTCAGACACGAAGAGAGAGATGCTGTTGAAGCAGATGTCAGGTGTAGCATGCAACCGCGTTCTGCAGAGCACGCAAGCACGGGCAGACGTCTGCTGCAAACTAGCTGACATGTCCCGTGTGTGTAAAGTGTCACGGGTTTACATGATGGAGACTATTAAACACTGCGCACACACACTGGGCGCTCACCAGTGTGGCACCTGGTCCCGCCCTGTGGGATCCAGGCAGAGGGTTTCTCTAGTCACGGTCTCCATTAAAACCATCTAGAGTTTTTGCTGCTGAATGATCTACATGATGAGTTTGTTCCTGCCGCTGTTTCCTGTTTGCAGGAGGAGCTGGTGGAGCTGGTTCTGGGTCAGCAGCCGTCCCCGTCGAGCAGCTCCGGCCCCGAGACCCCGAGCACCCACCCGCCCTCTGTGACCTCTCATTCGCCAGCACCTCGCATCTCCACCTCCACTCCCGAGCCCCCCACACCTACACCAACTCCAACTCCTGACCCCCCCACTGTACACCCCGAGGCCCCGGCCCCACCCACAGAGACAGCCCCTGCTGAGCCTGACATTCAGGATGAAGACCAGGTAAACCCAGAACCGGCCGTTAAGTGTCCAATAATGAGAGCGGGAGAGCTCAGAGCGAGCTTATGTCCTGGTTCTGTTTTTAAACCCGAGTCTGAGTTTCCTGAATGACTCTGTGTCTCGGTTCAGACCTGGAACCCCGAAGACGCCCCGGTTACCGGCCGCAGGGCGTCTCTGGCGGACCTGACCTGCCTGGATGACATCGAGGCGCTCAGCGTCCGGCAGCTGAAGGAAATCCTGGCCAGGAACTTTGTGGACTACAAAGGCTGCTGTGAGAAGTGGGAGCTGATGGAGAGAGTGAGGCGCCTGTACCAGGACCAGCAGAGCCTGCTGGGTGAGAGTCCACTGTTAACACGAAACAGACTTAATACATATACAGAAGGAGAGCGCCCCCTACAGTTACGCTTTCATGATACTCAAAGAAAACAACGTGCACTAAAATTCAAAAGGGAAGTGATTCTGAGTTTGTCCTGTTTGGTTCACGTTTGCACCAAATGGTAAATGGACTGATTCTCCCAGAGTGCTCAAAGCGCTCAGCATTTAAATCAGATCAGTTCTGATCACAGACGTGAAAAATAAGTTAGAGTAGGAAAAGTTTCCTCACGAGCGGACGTCCTCTCGGTTTAGAGAGGATGCTGCACACAGGCCTCCGTTCTTCAAACACTCCAACAGCTTTCTTGTGTTTCTGTTTTGCTTTCAGCTGCCAACGCTGTGAACGCTTCAGGTGAGTCTGATCACACAGAGTAACGCTGATGTCGTGTTTACATGCTGTTATTAAAGAAGCGGTTGTCGCTCCTTCGTCTCCAGAATCGGGCGGTGTCGGCACCGGAGGTCTGGAGGAGAACCTCTGTAAGATCTGTATGGACTCCCCCATCGACTGCGTGCTGCTGGAGTGCGGTCACATGGTCACCTGCACCAAGTGTGGAAAGAGAATGAGCGAGTGCCCCATGTGTCGCCAGTACGTCGTCAGAGCCGTCCACGTCTTCCGGTCCTGATCCTGGCTGCGGCTGAACCCAGGTAACCCGACCCAGACCTGGCAAACCAGTTTATCCCAGAGCGTGCATCCAGACCTAGTTTAACAAACCGGGCGCTGCCGCTTTAACAGTCTGATGTTGTTCTGGATTTAAACGAGTCTTCTTAAAGTGTTTTTTCCCTTCTTTGTAGGACCGACTGCCTCCAAAGCAATAAACTGTAATCAGGTCTTTCTGAAGGGAACTTGACAGAATGGGCTTTTATTTTGATAACTTTATTTTCTAATGGTATGCCTGTCTGAAGACAGTGAGACGGGACCTTAACCCACCTTCAGAGCTGCTGTTTAGATGCACACACTGAATGTACAAACTCTCGCTGCGGAGAGTTCACCGCACATTTGTGAACTAATCGATTGAGAAACCACCGTGCCTTCATCGCCTTGCCGCCGCCTCGGTCTGACCTGCGGCCGTCAGCCTGCGCGCAGCCGGGCAGGAGTCTACCAATGCAGCAGGTGATGACAACCAGGAAGTCCTCGCGGTGCCTTCAAGTCCACGCTCGGCCTGCGTTCTTATCACAGTCATGTTTACGCTGCAATAAGGAAGTGAAGCGAACAGCAGCCGGCCCTCAGCCTTCAGTGTAATAACAGCAGCTTCAATGTGTCCTACACAGGAAGTTAATGATGCATTCTTCACATGGAACCATCTGTTCAGACAGATTTCTGTTTTACAGATAGTTTGCATAATTAACTGTGTTTTTTAAGGAAATACTCAGGGAACCATCTTTAAATATCTATTTCTGTCTGAACGGCAGCCTAAACCTGGAAAGATGCTTTTGTTACAGAAGGAACATCTGCAGTCACGTCTCATATTCACACTAAATTTACCCCCAGTCACTGTCACTAACAGGAAACCACAGGAACATGAAAACCAGTATCCTTCTAATTACCATTTACAGTAAAGTCCAATCGTACACCTCCACATACGTGACATCATAGCAGGAACCAGCAGGGGGCAGCACACACATCACCTGAACTAAACAAACTCCAAGGATGGGACCAAATGCATAAGGTGGAGCCGGCGCTTCCCCTGACGTCCGTGCACACGCTCACATTTCTGAATATTTTTAGGGCAACAAAGAAGTTCACGATGAAGGATTCAGACTTGGGTGGAGAAATGTCAGGACAGCATTCAGAGTCTGTGCTTATCACAAGGAACAAAGTCGGGAAACCGCGATTCCCAGCTAGTGTGTTGGCATGTAAGCACTTGCAGACTCAGTCAGAGGTCAGATTTCTTCCTGGCCTGGACCTCCAGCTCTTCATCCTCTCTGCCTGGAAACGACACAAACTGGAGGTTTGGGTGAAGCCGGAGCTTTAAATGTAATAACAGGTTTACTGGAAACAGCAGAGGCCCTGAAACGCTAACATGAGGGACTCCTTAAAGACAGAGGAAGACTGTTTGTGTGTTATTGAGCTTTTGGATTTAAGTTGACTTTGTTTGCACTAAACTGTTGATTTTAAACTGTTTTTCAGGAGGTTTGCAGGAGGACGGTTTGTCCTTTTCCCGAGGTTTTTATTCTAGTGAAATCACTGTGTTTGATCTTTGTGAACATTTTGGATTCAGATGGTGTTACTCGCTGGCCTTTAACCTGTAACTTCTTCCTCTGTGGTGCAGTGGGATCATGCGAGCTCAGCTGTGGAGCTCACACTGCACTATAGAGCTTCTAGCTGAAACTTACACAGGACCTTGTGTCTGTGAGCACGGTGAGGCGGGGCCAGTGAAAACAGCACAGCTGGAATGTAAACCTCTAATCCAGCTGTTTCCTCATTAGTCCCCTGGCTGCGAGCTTTTTAAAAGGACACACTGTGATCTGCAGACTTTAAGTTTGTACTTTAGCCGCCTCACGTTGACCTGTCTCTGTGTTGGAACCTTTATTTACTCAGAATGTTTCTGCAGCTACCAGTGAGACACGTTTTTACAGAGCGACAGGAAGCTTTATTTTTCTGAGTGAGCTTTGCATCGTATTCTAATAAAACTTGATTTTCATTGAGTTCTGTGTCCTGTGCTTCATTGGGTTTATTGAGGGGTGCTCAACATTTAACTGATTATGGTGGAATCTTTATTTTGTGACTTCACATAAGAAGCTTCGCAGGTCAAATTCAGCTTCATTTGTGCTTCTTCCTGGACGTAGTTCAGCTGCTTCAGCTCTGATGTCCATTTCTGGAAGCCTGCCGAGGGGCAGCACAGGTGTGCTGCTTGTACTTCCAGGCTGCGAGGAAGCCTGTGATCTAAGGGATGACTCCTAATTACATCTACCGCATATTTTAAAAATTCAGCTGCATTTGATAAGAACGTCTGATAACTGATTTAAAAATGTTTACTGGTGTACGTTCCAAAGATGGAAATTAGCAACCCCAGAGTTAAAATTCAGACTCCACTCAACATTTTCTGGAAATGTATCTAAAATTTGATCTTGATGTGGTTTCACACCGGGTCACATTTACACTATAAAGTCACACCGGGCAGCAGGATCCCCTGCAGGAGGGGTTTGTCCACCTTCCTGCTTCCAGGTGGGCTGGAGACAAGAGACAACACAATAACAGAGTACATATAGTACAAATATATGTGTGTTTAATAAAGTAAAGGGCAGCGATGGAGACCAAAATTGTTAATAAAAATAAATGAATGAGGATGCGACCGCAGTCGGACCCGTGCACAGACCAGCTCTTTGTCATGCTTTGATCACTGAACGTTGTCTCATCAATAATCAAACAAAGCGATGTATATTTTAGACATAATTACATTTGTGGATTTGAATAATGCAAATGTTTAAAAATATTTCTATTTCTAAGCTTTTCAGGGCCGAGTACAATAACCTCAGTTTGATCTGAATTAAGAAGCAGAAAGTTAGCGGCCATCCAGGTCTTTATGTCTTTAAGACATTCCTGCAGTTTAACTCATTGGTGTGTGTTATCTGGCTTCATGGACAGATAGAGCTGGGTGTCATCTGCATAGCAGTGTAAATGTATGCTATGTCTTCTAATGATGCTGCCTAAGGGAAGCATGTATAATGTAAACAGAATTGGTCCTAGCACTGAACCCTGTGGAACTCCATAATTAACCTCAGTGTGTGAAGAGGACTCTCCATTTACATGCACAAACTGGAGTCTATTAGATAGATATGATACAAACCACTGCAGTGCAGTACCTGTAATACCTACAGCATGTTCTAATCGCTCTAATAGGATATTATGGTCGACAGTATCGAACGCTGCACTGAGGTCTAGCAGGACAAGCACAGAGATGAGTCCACTGTCAGAGGCCATAAGAAGATCATTTGTAACCTTCACTAAAGCTGTTTCTGTGCTGTGCTGAGCTCTGAAACCTGACTGAAACTCTTCAAATAAGCCTCTGCAGATGATCTGTTAGCTGTTTGACAACTACTCTTTCAAGGATGTTTGATATGAAAGGAAGGTTGGAGATTGGCCTATAATTAGCTAAGACTGCTGGGTCTAGAGATGCTTTTTGAGTAAAGGTTTAACTACAGCCAGCTTGAAGGCCTGTGGTACATAGCCGATTATTAGAGATAGGTTGATCATATTTAAGATCGAAGCATTAATTAATGGCAGGACTTCTTTGAGCAGTTTTGTAGGAATGGGGTCTAAAAGACACGTTGATGGTTTGGAGGAAGTAATTATTGAAGTTAACTCAGAAAGATCAATTGGAGAAAAAGAGTCTAACTTAACATCAATGGTACTAAGAGTAGCTGTAGATAATATTACATCTGTGGGATGATTACTGGTATTTTTTCTCTAATGATAAAATTTTATTTGTGAAGAAGTTCATGAAGTCATTACTAGTTAACGTTAAAGGGATGGTTGGCTCAACAGCACTGTGATGAAGTCTACTCCCCACTCCTGTGTAATCAACTTAGGTCCTCTTGCATTAATTATCCAGGATGCTTCTCTTCTGCTCACGTTACACAAACAATCTAGCTAGCACCCTCTTTATTTTATAATGAATTTAAAGTCTTGCTTATAAAATTTTAAATGTCCTGTCTCCCATGTACCTGGCAGACCTTCTATATATACCCCACCGTCTCTGAGATCAGCTGGCCACTCACTCCTTGGTGTCCCTGTGCTGAGACAAGCGATCGAGCGGCTGATCGTACTCTAGAATCTAGCTAGCACTACAGAAGAAGAGGTATAAAATGCAGTGTTTCTATCAGCTCAACAATCATCAGCAAACACACAAACTGTGTGTGTGCAGTTTGTCTCACAGTGTGTTGCAGCTAAAGGTCCAGCTGCTGATTTCAGGGGGAGAGAAAAGAAATAGAGCTAACTTCACTCACAGATGGAGAAACATAAGAAAGAAGGACAGGAGAGGAAGAAGAGAGCTTAGAGTTAAAGGGAAGGATGCTCATTTAAAGTCACATGTAATAATTTTACTCACCTGGATTTGAATATAACATGTTTTGATAAATTATGTATTTTTATTTTGTGAAACGTCCTGCAAAAATGAACTAAAATATACAAACTTGTGTTATTCAAGTGTTGCATGAAAATACAGTTTAGTAGGATAAGACTCGCTCACGCCAACAACACACTCGGCCTTCCTGATGAGTTTGTTCAGTCTGTTTGTGTGAAGAACATTTAAAGTAAGGAACAGTGTGTGACTGGTGCACAGTGGCCATGCTCGAGGTCAGAGTTAGCTGAACTTTAGCTGATGATGCTGAGACTCATTCACTTCAACTTTGGGGTCGGACTCGGACCCAGCCATACTACATGTGGGCCAATGCAGTATGGCTATTTACATTTTATTTTAAAACATTTAAAGCCATCCGCTGTTTAACGTCATCCAGGCAGCGTAATAACAGCTAAGGTGAGTCTGTCCCTGCTTTTAAAGGCAGATTCATCTGCAAGTCATCTGCAAAACAGTGGAATGAAAGGTTGTACCGTGAGAAAATAGACCCCAGTGGCAACATGTACAGTGTAAACAAGGCAGGACCCAAAATAGAGCCTTGAGGTACGCCATAATTAAAACGTCCTTCCTGATAAGTAGGACCGAAATCACAGAAGAGCTGATCCTTTTAGGCCAGCATATGACTGCAGCTGTGATAGCAGGAAGGGTCAGAGCAGACTCTGCCTGCTGAGGAGAAGGAGATCTTTCGCCTGCAGGTGGAGGGTCTTTTTTGGCTCTGTGTTGCTGTCTGCTGGAGCAGCAGCTTATCTACAGCTGAGAGGATCAGCTCATCAGTAAGGCCAGGTCTGTGCTAGGATAGGAGATGGTTAGTAATCCGTAATCCAATTACTTTTTTATAGTCACGAGTAATGTAAGGCATTACTCATGCAAAAAAGTAATTAGACTACCTTTACTTTCCCGTAAGCACGCTGCGTTACTGTGTTAGAAAAGCGTTGTGCTTTTGTTTGTGAGAGTGTCTCATCATGACAATAACGTACGAGCGTGCGGCGCCTGTGGCAGCAACAGACATGTGCAGATCAACAATGGCTAACATGGAGTGATGGAGAGAGTACGACCATGCAGCGTTTAAAGCGTGGAAGTAATCACATTACTTTGAGTTTGATTCCGTAAAAAGTGACACAAACATTAGAGTCTGCTGTTCACTCTGTTTGGGAAGAAAACTTCTTTCTACAGCGAAAAATTAAACTTCAACTCTGAGCGAACAGCGAGCACGCTGCCACGGGAACGTGACACTCACAGAGAAACCCCCGGATCCCCCCACTGACACGACCACTGTGGGCAAACCTCCACCCGCCCCACTCCTGCTACACAGGTGACTATAGATTTAAGAGCAACAGGACTCAGAGCTGCTGAGTCTTTGATTTTATTTATTTCTGCTGTGTTTTAATTGCATCTGTTTGAAAGAGTGTAAACACAAAACATTATTTTATTTTATGTGCTGGAATATGCAGGAAATAGGTTTAAACACATATCTGCAAGTCAAAGACTTTTGAACATAATTTTATATTTGCAATGTGCATAAAAGTTAGAAGATTAAAACTAAAGAAACAAGTTTTAAAAACAGACTTTTTCATTTGATTCAGTTTCATATGATGGATTATGCAGAAAAATAGAATTGGGCTGAAAGGTCTGTTGCTTTATTACGTATTCAGGTTGTGTATCATGTTTTTGAAAAGTAACTAATTATTTTTTGAAAAGAAGTAATCAGTAAAGTAATGGGATTACTTTTTTGAAGAAGTAATCAGTAATTAGTTACTAATTACTTTTTTCAAGTAACTTGACCAACACTGGCTTGGATGCCCCCCCCCCGACCCAGTGCAGGTGTTGGAGACAGAAGAACTCTTGGACAGTGTCTCCACCCCCACGCATGAAGCTGTGGCAGAACTGGAGCGCTCCTTCAGTCAAAGACTGCTGCGTACACAGAGGAGCGTTATGGCCCATTCCTCCCAGCAGCTGTTAGACTTTATAACCATCACTGCTCCCAACAAACATCCTGCTGTTATTTGCACAGTTTCTCCATTTTCTGTAAACACTCTGTCATTATTGATGTTTTTAAGCACATTTCTCACAGCAACTTTTGGACATGTTTTTAAAAACACGATCCTACTATTGTAATAACTGTACAGTATTCCTTTTTTCTTCTTATGTTGTAAAGTTGCCCTCTGCAGTCTCGTTTCTTATTTGTTGTTCTTTATTTTAGATTCTTACTTTTGTGTGACCCGTCGTGCTCCATCTGCCTATCACTGCTGGAACGTGAATTTTTCCTATTCTAGTCACTACTGTTATTGCTATAATAATAATAATAATAATAATAATAATAATAATAATAATAATAATAATAATAATGATGATGATGATGATGATGATGATGATGATGACGATAGCGACGCTACGGATTGTTGATTGGCTGGTTTGGCGACGTTAGGCGGGATTTCTACGCCTCCGCTGTCCATTGGCTGGTTCTCTGTTTTGTGGGCGGGGCTTGGTTTGAACCGGAGTCCCGCCGCAGACAAAAGTGTCAGGTTTCCTGTAGCGACAGTTTATACGACGCAGGCGGCTGTCAGCAGT